GCGCTGGCTTCCAGACAGCCTGGCCACTTCGCTAGCTGATCTTGGGCAAGTGACTGAACCAAGGACTGTTGAGAGGGGACAGATCTGCCATCGGTACAGGCCTTTACAACTTAGACGTTTCACATCCGGATCCTTTTCATCACTAATATTTATCTGGATCTTTGCTCCCCAAATGAAGAAACTGAAGAACAAAGAGTGACATGGTTTAAAGTCATACAGCCTGTGAGGGATGAAACTACATATTTCCCCCTTTTAAAAAAAATTGACTTATTATTTATTGTGGGGGGGGAGAGTGGGGGAAGGGGCAGAGGGAGAGGGAGGGAGAGAATCCCAAGTAGACTGCACTGAGCGTGGAGCCTGACGTGGGACTCAGTCTCACAACCCTGATGTCACAACCTGAGCCAAAATCAGAAGTTGGTTGCCCAACAGAAGCACGCAGGTGCCCCCCATAAATATTTGCTGTGGTAAAATACACACACCATAAAATGCACTCTCTTCACCATTTTAAGTGGTGACTCAGTGGCATTAAGTCCATTCACAGTGTGCAACCATCATGACTGCCCAGTTCCAGAACTTTCTGATCACCTCGAGGAACTGAACTTTGAAGCGAGATAGCTCTAAGTCCGAAACCCAGTGCATGTACCTGTAACAATTCACAGCTGAACTGAGTAAACATATAACGGAAATGAAAGTAGGGGATAGACGAGCACTGAATCACGTCTTATAAACAGGAAACGCAAGAGGGAATCAGTAACGGGAGCGTCCACAGGGACCTCTGCCTGCACTAGCTAGGAAAGTCTTTCTGCAAGAGGGGAAGCTTTCGTGAAAAGGCAGGTTTCGAGAGGGAGCAGTGAGGATCCATCATTCCAGGCAGGGCAAGCGGCAGGAGCAAAGAGAGAGGATGAAGCTGAAGAAAGAGGCATTTACAATGACAATGGCAGGATTTCTTGCTAGGAGCCATCTGGCTGGAGGGGAGGCTAGGCAACGTGGCTTGCGAGCACACTGGCACAGCAAGCCCACTGCTTTCGCTTCCCCCGCGTGTTTGTTTGGAGTGCCTTGAGGACAGCTCTAGCCACAAGTCCACCTGTGGCACCAGCCTTATGCAAACAGAGAGGGATGAAGCTGAAGAAAGAGGCACTCAATAGAGAGTGTTATTTGGCTAACTAGAAATTCAGTAGGGTAGAGGGTGCGTGCATGTGACAGCCTGGGCAGATGAGCTGGAGTTAGGTCATAGGGGAGGAACTGGTTCTTAAGACAGGCAATTGGGAGCCACTGCAGGTTCTTGAGCAATGGCAGATGATGTGATGCCATTGGAACCCAGGATTAGACCATTTCTCTATTTCTTCTTTGCCTGACAGTGCCCCCTGGTGCCCCTAGTTTGAATTGCTCCCTCATTTTATGAGTGGGTGGGAGGATGGAGGACTGAGAAGCAGGACTGTTGAGTTGGAGAAGCCAGACTCTTGGGCCACATTCCAATTCATCCTGAGTGATAACAGTAGTGGAAAGGAATAGAGACGACATGTGGACAGAGAGGGTATGATGTGAAGGACAAGGGCATGGTGGTGGTTCCCTCTTCTGTCTCATCGTTCTGAGCTTGGATGTTGGGTATCAGGTACTAAGGTGGAACTGGAAGCAGGATGGTAACTGAGACAAGGTCGGTGTTCTTGAGGAACTTGGACTCTAGTGAGAAAACAATTAGAATACAAGTGTCAAATACGAGGGTGCAAATATGCACATATACCAGTTACTGAACCCAGCTTGACATGGTCCCAGACAGCTGCCTGGATGAGTGGAAACCTAGCTTTCTTTTCTTTTCTTTTCTTTTTTTAAAAGATTTTATTTATTTATTTGACAGAGAAAGACAGCCAGAGAGGGAACACAAGCAGAGAGAGAGGGAGAAGCAGGCTCCCTGCTGAGCAGAGAGCCTGATGTGGGGCTTGATCCCAGAACCCTGGGATCATGACCTGAGCCAGACGCTTAATGCTTAACGAGAGAGCCACCCAGGCACCCCCCCACAGCCTCATTTTCATGATAATAATAGGTAACTGTGGGGGCACCTGGGTTACTCAGTCGGTTAAGCTCTCTGATAATAGAGTGATGGCCAGAACATCATTTTAAATTAAAAATCTAGTTAGAGAACACTATACGCAGAATGCTACCTTTTCTGTAAGAATGGATGAACATTTTATATATTACACACCTATATTTCTTACTTTCTTTTTCTTTTTTAAAACAAATGCTTTTCTTTTCTTTTTTTTTTTTAAGATTTTATTTATTTATTTGACAAACAGAGACCACAAGTAGGCAGAGAGGCAGGCAGAGAGAGAGGTGGAGGCAGGCTCCCTGCGGAGCAGAGAGCCCGATGCAGGGCTTGATCCTAGGACCCTGGGATCGTGACCTGAGCTGAAGGCAGAGGCTTTAACCCACTGAGCCACCCAGGCACCCCTATTTCTTACTTTCAAATAGAAACATTAAAAATAGTTACCTATACAGAGAGGTGGAAGAAGGGTCCTAACCCCAGTATTTGTGGGGCCAGGTCAGAGCACAAATGAGGGCTCACGTATCCTATATTGAAATATGTGAGTTATTTGAAAGCTGACAGTTAAATATGCTTTAACCCCTTATCTTGACAAATACACTTTGTAACGACACCATAAAAAAAAAAAATAGGGGCGCCTGGGTGGCTCAGTGGGTTAAGTCTCTGCCTTCAGCTCAGGTCATGATCTCAGGGTCCTGGGATCGAGCCCTGCATAGGGCTCTCTGCTCGACGGGGAGCCTGCCTCTCCCTCTCTCTCTGCCTGCCTCTCTGCCTACTTGTGCTCCCTCTCTCTGTGTGTTGAATAAATAAAATCTTTTAAAAAAATATGTAAAGCGATGGCTTTGTATGACTTTAAGTCAAAATGCCCAAGGAAAATTAATGCCCAAGGAAAATTAACTTAATTTTTAAAGATTTTATGTTTAAGTAATCTCTACACCCAAAGCCGAGCTCGAACTTACAACCCCGAGATCAAGAATCACATACTCCACAGACTGAGCCAGCCAGGCGTCCCATAAATTAATTTAATTATTATTGCACATGCCTGGGTATTCTCATGATGGGCCAGCAATGTTTGGATAGAATAATACAGTCATATACAATTCATAAATTATTATGTGTTTGATTACATTAAATTAATTTTTCTTGCCTTAATTTTGGCAAAATCCCTAATTGTGCTGTTATGATAAAAGTTTTTCTCACTGTGCATATTCTGTTGCTAGTTACGCTAAATTAATCAACCTTTCTTGAATTATTCTTGTTCTTAGATATTTAAAAAATTCATTCCAATTTAGAGAAACTTTGCTCCTAACTGAAATTATTCCTAGTATTTTTAAACCAGTGTTTTGAGGGGGTTCTGGGTGGCTCAGTCGGTTAAGCATCTGACTCTCGGTTTTGGCTCAGGTTATGATCTCAGGGTCCTTAGATCGAGTCCCACATGGAGCTGTGTGCTCAGTGAGGAATCTTCTTCTCTCTCTGTCTCTCTGTCTCTCTCTCTCTGCCCCTTCCCCCACTTGTGTGTGTGGGTGCACTCTTTCTCAAATAAAAAAATCTTAAAAAAAATATGCTTTGGGGCGCCTGGATGGCTCAGTGGGTTAAAGCCTCTGCCATTGGCTCAGGTCATGATCCCAGGGTCCTGGGATTGCTCCCTGCATCAGGCTCTCTGCTCAGCAGGGAGCCTGCTTCCCCCCCTCCCCCTGCTTGCCTCTCTGCCTGCTTGTGATCTCTGTCTGTCAATAAATAAATAAAATCTTTAAAAAAATGTGCTTTGATTCAGAATTGGATCATAAACTTTTATCATGTTCAGACATTATATAGACATTACATATGATAAATATTTTATCCCAGAAAATGTTTAAAGTATTTTTTCATCATACTAATCTTTATCATTTATATTGCAATTTTCACCATCTCTTAAAGCAATATCCAGGTCCACTTGGTGTTTCTTGTTTTACTCTTTTAATGTTTTTAAAGAATTTTTCCCTCAGAATTATATTTTATTTTTTTAAAGAGTTTATTTATTTATTTATTTGAGGGAGAGTGAGAGTGAGAAAGCACAAGCAAGGGTAGGGGCAGAGGGAGAAGCAGGCTCCTCCCTGAGCAGGGAGCCTGATGAGGGCCTCTAACTCCAGAACCCTGGAGTCATAACCCGAGCCAAAGGCAGATGCTTAACCCACTGAGCCACTCAGATGCCTCAGAATTTTATTTTAAAAATTTTTATTTGATCCTAGCTGATCAAATAACATTGCAACACATTACATTGTGTACAACATGGTGATTTGGTAACTCTATACATTTTTAAAAAATATTTTTCTTTATTTATTGGACAGACAGAGATCACAAGTAAGCAGAGAGGCAGGCAGAGGCGGGGTGGGGGGGGAAGCAGGCCCCCCACTGTGCAGAGAGCCCGATGTGGGGCTCCATCCCAGGACCCTGAGATCATGACCTGAGCCGAAGGCAAAGGCCCAACCCACTGAGCCACCCAGGCGCCTCCATTACTATTTTTTTTTTAAAAGAAGACCTAGATTTGTTAAACTATTACAAAGATAAAACAATTATCATTGAAGTACTTTGAGGACTTCACTTATTGTTATGGCCACTGACCTAAGAGGTTAGACATTAAAGGATATATCCTAAGAGGTATTGACTGGTGAAACATGGTGAAAGAAGTAAGAGCTCGTCAGAAACATCTGCGTTAGAGGTATTTCATGTGGCTAGGATGCTTCCCAAGAGGCTCCCTGACGATGCCTGAATGATAATCTGGGTCCCAGATTAGTAAAAAAGACCCTTACCCCTGTGAAGAATGAGCAGAGGCCAGGATCTTAAGGGGAAAGGGATCCTCTGAAAGCCTGTATCTTGGGAGCAGCCTCCCTCCTTCCCATCCGGTCTACCTAGGCCTTCAAGCACCTGTGCTTCTCACCACGTCCGCCTGCCAGGTCATGGAAAGTACGGGGAGTAGAGGGCAGGAACTATGGTGCTGCTCAGAGGGGACCTATACACAGAGAGCTTGGGGTTAGGTGATAAGCTACAAGTACCTTCCTGGTTAAGTTAATTCACCTTTGTTAATAAAGGTCCTAGTTTCTTCTGCTGGTGGCAACTTTTTGTCTCAGTACAGTCTACCTCAAGAACTGGTTCAGGTAAATTCTGGAGAAGGAACGAGACTTTCATCAACACGCACTCCACAGGAGAAGACGCATCACGTTCCTTCCTAGTTATGAGCAGATCCCACGGCCGCATCGAGCATGCTCAGTGATCATCATCTGTACCCTCAACTGTCCAGCAGCTGTTGGTGTGGTGTCTACCTCCATCTCATCTTCACACTCTCTTCTCGAACCTTCTGTCCGGACTTCAGCCATGTAGTACTGGCTGCTCACAGACTGAGAAAGCTTTCCTTCTAGTCTCTCCCACGTGGCTTGGCCTTCTTAACCCTTCTTCCCAGGTATAAAATGGAGAGATGTCCCCCACCCTCGTTCCCGAGTTCTTCTCCGTCTTTGTCCTCAGGGTCAGGATGCGAAGCCTGGCATTCGCATTGCGGGAGCATTGTCTCCAGAGCTCATTTATCACTAGGCACAAACCTAAACTCAGCAATAGGGTCAACCTCATCATCGCTGTCTTCTTTAGGCCCCCCGGCCCCCGCGCGCCCGCTTATGGTGGGGTGTCCGGTGAGAATCTAGCCCAGAGCCGTCTAACCAAGACAGGTGGCTCTCAGCGATACAAAGGGTGCTGCTCAGCCAGGCAGGGGACACTTTGGAGGAAGCTCACTGTAGCAGGGAGTGCGGCGACACGGGCCAATAACTCTATACGTCATGCTATGTTCGCAAGCATAGATACATCTGTCCCCATAGGATGGTATCACAGGACCACTGACTGTTCCCTGGGTGGTGGTGGTTTTACTTTTACAAAAAGTCTTCAAGGCTGAGACCTTATAAAGAAAACTCTGGAAAGCAGGCTGTTGCTACATTTCTTCAAATCTCTTTTCAGTTGAGATTGTGACTTGATTGTGGCCAGAAGATAGTCTCTGTATAAGACGTTGGTTTGGGGGAATATTTGCATGTGCATCTTTTTCTTTATGGTCATGCAAACATTTTTATTTCCTTGTTTTAGTTTCCATATGTATACATTTAATTCTATTTTGATATGATGTCAAACATTGAGAAATTTGCAAATAGCAGAGAATCCTCTTTTTTTTTTTAAATATATTTTATTTATTTTTTTGGCAGACAGAGATCACAAGTACGCAGAGAGGCAGACAGAGAGAGAGAGAGGAGGAAGCAGAGAGCCCGATGAGGGGCTCGATCCCAGGACCCTGGGATCATGACCTGAGCCAAAGGCAGAGGTTTAACCCACTGAGCCACCCAGGTGCCCCAAATAGCAAAGAATCCTCTTATACCCTTTATTTTTTTTTCTCTTATACCCTTTATTTAGTGCCACGTATTATTAACATGTTACCACATTTGTTGCTATTTTAGTCTCTCTCCAAATTAAAATTCATATTTTTTGTAGTAATCTCTACACCCATCGTGGGGCTCTAAGTCACAGCCTGGAGATCAAGGGTTGTGTGCTTTCCCGACTGAGCCAGCCAGCCAGCCACCCCAGAAATTTTATTTGGTATATGTGTGTGTATGTATAATTATTTTTCTTATGAATCATGAGAGTAGATTGCATACATCATGCTTCTAGGTCCCTTACTACCTCAGTATTTCCTTTTTTTTAAATTGATTTGACAGAGAGAGAGGTCACAAGTAGGCAGAGAGGCAGCCAGAGAGAGAGGGGGAAGCAGGCTCCCTGCTGAGCAGAGAGCCTGATGTGGGGCTCGATCCCAGGACCCTGAGATCATGACCTGTGCTGAAGGCAGAGGCTTAACCCACTGAGCCACCTAGGCACCCCCTCAGTATTTCCTAAGAAGGCTATTCTCTCTCGCTCTTTTTTTTTTTTTTAAGATTTTATTTATTTGATAGATACACAGCTAGAAAGGGAACACAAGCAGAGGGAGTGGGAGAGGGAGAAGCAGGCTCCCCAGTGAGCAGGGAGCCCGATGTAGGGCTCGATTCCAGGACCCCGGGATCATGACCCGAGCGGAAGGCAGATGCCTAATTGACTGAGCCACCCAGGCACCCCTCTCGCTCTTTTTTTAAGTTTATTATTTATTTATTTATTTATTTATTTGACAGAGATCACAAGTAGGCAGAGAGGTAGGAAGAGAGAGAGGAGGAAGCAGGCTCCCTGCTGAGCAGAGAGCCTAATGTGGAGCTCGATCCCAGCAACCTGGGATTATGACCTGAGCCAAAGGCAGAGGCTTTAACCCACTGAGCCACCCAGGTGCCCCAAGTTAATTTATTTTTTTTAATAATCTCTACACCCCATCGTGGGGGCTCGAACTCACGACCTTGAGATTAAGAGTCGCACACTCCTCCGACTGAGCCAGCGAGGTGCCCCAAGAAGGCTATTCTTTTATATAACCATGAAACAGTTATCCAATTTAAAAGATTCAAGTCGCTGCAAGACATGTCTACTCTACGATCCATATTCCAGTTTGACAAGAGTCCTAATAATGTCCCTTGTAGCCACCGTGTCTCGGCTCCAGTGTGGGACAACGTCCAGAACTCTCCATTGCATTTAGTGCTCAGTTCTCCTTTCATCTGTGATGGTTCCCCAGGCTCT